CGTCAGTCTCTCTCCTTACCAGGAATCCAGGATAGTGCAGCCACTGCCAGTCCACATTCACATTGGACTCAACTGCAGGCTTTGTCCCCACACTGTCCATAGCAAAGGGCCTGAACAAATATCCTCAGCACATAGTCCCTGGTAACTAGCCACCGGGATCCCATCAAACACTGGTCAAGACCAAGCCCTGTGGCTCTCAGGTGAGGAATTTGCCTTCTAAATGTACCATCAGCACCTAAGAATAATTAATTAGCAACAGGGCTTATTCAAAAGACTAAAGAGGTGGTGCAAAATGAAGAATTCAAGACAGGAGCAAGACCACCTGGGGTGGATGCAGCTTATCTGGGACCTCCAAAAAGCCAGTTAAGAAATGGTCCATAGGGCCAGCCAAATAGCCAAGTGCCTGCTTGGCACACGGGTTGGGGGTTCAATACTCAGGCCTGCTGTGCCAGCCCTGCCCCCTGGGGTGCGCTGAGACAGCAATTAAAACTGGGCGTGGTGGCGCATGCCTGTAATCCCAGCTCTTGAGAGGTTGTAAACAGGCGGGCCACTAAGTCCAATCTAGTAGTGAGACCCTGAACACCCTGTAGAGCCTTCCCTAAAATACAAACAAAACAAAACAAAACAAACCTCACACACCCAAGAACTGAGAATGTCAGAGTGAAGACACATGAGCGCCCTAGGGTCCCTCTTAGGGGCACTGACCCCCTTAGTCTGGTCATTTCCCAGGGTCCCAGCTCCTGATACAACACTAGGGATTTCCAATGTGTGAATGCGGGAGTGTGCAACAACATTCGCCTGTGATAAGAGTAAGCTTTTTTTTTTTTGTATTTTTAATGAAGGGTCTACAGCATGTTCAGAGTCTCGATACTAGATCGGACTCAGTGATTTACCTGTTTATAGCCTCCCAAGAGCTGGGATTACAGGCACACACCACCACTGTCAATTGCAGCCTCAGCACACCCCAGGGGCGGGGCCTCCCAGGGACGGAATCGGCAGGCCCAGGATTGAATCTGGCAGGCCTGGGATTGAATCTGCAGCCCCTGCGCCTGCTGCAGGTGCTTTAATCTGCTGAACTATTTGGCTGGCCCAAGAGTAAGCTTTAGTGTCCTTATCAGTCACTGCTCTAAGATGGACCCTGCAACCATTCTACCTAGCACCAAAGACAGGCTTGGCACAAATATCCTAATGGTTTCTGCTTTGTGTAAGCCTCATTTGGAAGGGTTCTGGGAATCCAACTCTGACTCGGAGCTTGCCAGTGAGGGGCAGCACCGCTGAGCTATATCCCCAGCCCCATGTCTCAAATCTTCTAATACTTTTCTCTTGTCCTTATTCTCTTACGTGACATAAGAATACAACAGTTGGGGAACATAACAAGTAGCCACTTCATCAAGTCTTATTTCTGATCTATACTAGATGTCTTCTATAATTTACTCTGTAAGTTTTGTATTTTATCATTTTCATTAGCACTTTTGGGTGGAACCGGGGATTGAACTCAGGCCCTTCTTCTACTTACTCTACTGAGCTATCTCCCCAGCCCTTGAAAGACAATCTTGAAAGTTTTTGGAACCTCAGCCTCATTAACGACACTTACCATGATGGTAGCAGCACCATTGTAGGTTTTCCTAACAAAGCTCCATACTCTCAAAGAGGGCTGAAGAGATGGCTCA